AAATTCAAATTCAAATTCAAATTCTTTTCAAAGAAGCTGCTGGTCAGAAAAACCACCAGAATCTTCATCTATTCCTGTGTTTCTCAACCTCAGCATCTTGAAGATGTGTGAACTTCAACTTCCAGAATTCCCTAGGCTGGCTGCAGAATTTTAGGGGTTGCAGTCCATACGTCTTAAACTGGCTGACATTGAGAAACACTGGTTTAGATCATCCCATTTCAAAGGTTTCCAGGTGTCACAGAGTCCAAATTACCCCTCTCCCAGTCATGCCAGTGAGTTACCATATTTTTCGGAGTATAAGAGCTCGGGAGTATAACACACACCTAGCTTTTGGGGAGGAAAACAAGGAGGGGGGAATCTGCCCACATTTGTGCTATGTCAAAAACATAGCAATATAAGATTAGATTACACCTGGGCAGGTGGGTTTGCCTAAACCGGTCCAAACCGGCTGAATATGACCTCTATTTACAGTGGTTTTACAGAGTATTGTAATTGCCCCCAACAATCTGGGTCCTCAATTTACCCACCTCGGAAGGATAGAAGGCTGAGTCAACCTTGAGTCGGTGAACTGCCAAATTGCAGGCAGCCGGCAGTCAGCAGAAGTAGCCTGCAATACTTCATTCTGACCACTGTGCCGCCACAACATATCACACAGTACACCAAGATGTACAGTCTGTCATAGACAGATGTCCCATCCTATTGTTGAAGCTAGGCGAGGTGTGTGCAATGTTGCAGGAAGCTGCATAGGACTCTGAGCACACTGGTTTCACTTTGGGGAAGAAAAGAAGCAGAAGCAGAGATAGAAACACGGATCGTAATAACTGTATATTTCAAAGCTTTAAGTGCCTAATTAGAGGAGCAGGAAGCAATGCGTTAACAGTCCATTTCTAACTCCAGCTTTCTCTTCTCTTTCCACAGCAATTACAGTGCACTGTTAGGAGTTTGGGTCTATGGGTTTTTCATTGTTGTCTTGCTGGTTCTGGACCTTTTATATTACTCCTCCATGAACTACGACATTTGCAAAGTTTACATGGCAAGATGGGGAATCCAGGGGAAATGGATGAAACCGGAAACAAGCCGGTGGATTAAACCAACTCAGGACTCAAGGCAAGTAGAGACTCAGACGCATTCTCAGCCTGCCTCTCAACCATCCCAGGCTGTCCACACCTTAAAAGGAGAAGCTTTAACTCCGCCACTGATGTCTTTCCCGAGCTCAACTGCCTGGTAAGTTTTTCAAGGTGTCTTCTCTTTTTTCATACCACAATCTTTTATCTGAGAGATCTGTGATGGCGAACTTATGTCAGAGGTGGCACGCGGAGCCCCCTCTGCGGACACGCGAGCCATCGCCCCAGCTCAGCTCCACCGCGCATGCGCGTGGGCACTTCCCGCTGGCTAGCTGATTTTCGGGTCTCTGCCACACATATGTGGGGGAGGTGGGGCACATGCAGGAGAGGCGTATGCATGCATGGAGGTGGGGGAGAGTGGGGGGCTCCTTCTGCACCCCGTTTTGGTCCCAGGAGACTTTAGGGAGGCCTACTAGGCCCAAAACGGGATGGGGGGGGTTCGTTTGCGCATGAATGGAGCAGGGGAAGCACAGGGGTCTACGCATGCATACGCAGGAGGCGGGATGCACGGGGATGTCACTCAACCATTGCATTATGAGTGTGGGCACGCTGCTACACGCACATTTGTGCTTTCGGCCCATGAGGACAAAAGGGTTAGCCATCACTGTGATAGATAGTTCTTATCAGATGCCTTGTCAGAGCAGTGTGATTTTATTTCAATGGTTCTGGTGTCTCTCTGGCAAGAGCCAAGGTGGCGCAGTGGTT